TGGTTGCTCCAGCAGTTGTTATTGTCTGAAGTGTATACAGCACAGTTTTCCCTTCAAAAGGCGAGCATAGGCCAAGGACAAAAGGACAGAGGACATCTGGCTTTGATACCTTCCTTGTTTCTCAGCAGCCCTGAGAGGAGCATTCATCACATGGGAAGTGAAGAGGTAGTGGTAGGATTAATTTGCAAAAGCAGACACCCAAAGTGGATATAGTCACATCATCAAGAGAGTGGACGGGTGACAAAAGTTCCTATTTGTTGGTGAATTTAATATTTAGTCTATTCATACCTTTTCTGAGTCTCAGGGAATGTGACTCCAACATGTGTCCCTGTTCAGGAAGAATTGCTGTGGACTGATGAGTCACAAGGGAGATTGCATAGGTGACGCCAGGCACTTTGAGCACAAAGATCTCTACAAACATTACTTCGTGTTTATGAACTGCCCCAAATTCATAGGACAGCAGAGAAGACCTTTCCCTGCTGTGAAAAGGAAACTTTCCCACTTGTATCCATCACCCAGCTATCAAACAATGCCAAAATTTGCATGGAAGTAGGATGAAATCTAATCTTATATGTGCAAGATTCCTTCCTTTCCTGTCGGTAGCTGATTAGAGCTGGCAGTAGCCCGTGGAACAAGAATTCAAATTTGGGTTCTCTTAGACACATAGAGGAATGAGAAAATAGGCAATAAGCTTGCTACACAAGTTAACACTGGAGCTAGAATTTGGTGTTCAGTTCCTCAAGCAAAAATCACGTGTCACTCAGAACATATATAGGCCAAATACTGTTTTAGTATTATCAGTGTTTCCCATTGCAAGGAGAAGAAAAGTATGACAACTCATTAAAAATGGTCGCTTGCCTCTAAGGAAGATTGCTGTTATGACTTGACCACCAGCTCTATGATGATCAGATGATTAAATGAGAACGGTCAGTTTATGAGGTATGTCATTATGAGGTAAATGACATTCCAAAAAACAAATTCGGAGAGAGAGGTCGTACCACGGTCAGGTGCAGTTGAAATTTTGGTACTGCTGATGTCTTAAATTAGAAACACTCCCAGCTCCATCTTTTAAAGCCAAGTAACTTCATGCATTTCAGACAGCTATCCATTTATCAAGGGCACTGTGCCTGCACTGTTTCATTATTTTTTCCCCCCCCCTACTATTTTTCAAAGAGTAAATCATATTTTTGCAACAACACATAATGCACCTCTGGCAATAGAACAACAGTGCTATTTTTATGTAAAACATTATGGTCCTCTTAGAAGGATTGTTTACTGAAATTCTCTGTATGCATTTTAAGATTCTCCTATGTTTTTCTATTTTCACATGTCTGTTGCAACATTCTGTAAAAAATTTTTAAGTGGACCTGACTATCCTGGACATTGATCATAGCACTTCTATGACCTAGTGACAGCACATTGCAGCCAGAAGAGCCAAGATGGAAGAAAAGAATTAAAAGATGTACACTTGGGAGAAATTGAGAATTGTTTAGTGGTTCGTCTAGCGTCTGCAGAAATTCCTCAATTATAGCAATAATGCTGATGGCAGTTTGGAGCAGTTTTAGATCTGCATTTTGTCCTTGAATCAGCATCTTAGTTGTACATGAGAAGGTGTAAAAGCCATAGCGTTCTACTCTTCAGGAACTTTTGTTGCTGTCTTTTTGTTACAATAGGGAGTTAGATATCAGAACCCTGAGAGAATTGTGTACAGTTGATGTGTGCTGTACTTCAGATAGTTCTCCTCAGAAATGTGATTATCTCCTAAAACTAATCCAGAAAGCTACGATGCGGCTTGCAGTTGTGTGGACACGGAAGGCTCTTGAGCCAAACTCTTCGCTCTGGCACTGAGTCACACACACTGGAGAAGAGCCTGCCACCAGTGCCAGGGGCTGGCTAAGCGGCATTGATCTTTGTACAGAGAAAACTCAGGTCTTGGTCATGAAGTATAGCAGCATTGGCAGAGAGAGGTAAACAGCCCAGCCTTTTGCTGGTTGTACTTAATGAAGAGTTTGTTGTGCAGATGAAGTGAGATTATGGAAGGAACAGATCTTGTCGGCTTCCGCTGACCTTCAGAAGCTTTGAGAACAGCTAAGAAGTACTGCAGAAGATGCACTTGATGGTGACGCTGAAATTTGTAGAGCAGCCAAAAAAAATGCCAGAGTGTTTAGGTGTGATTGTTGCTGCTGAACAGAGTCAATCACAGTGCCAAACTGTAGATGTAGTCTCTTATAATGTATTGAAAAAGAACACGTGGAAGCATAAGTCCTTGTGCTCAGTTCGGACACTGCTGTAGAAAGTCATGACAAAGTTTAAGGATGTAGGTGTTATCCCCTAGGGAACCAGTAAGATGATAATCACTGGAAGTTGGAAGAGCCATGTGATTGTTTCCAGTCCTTAATGGAAACCTTTTGACTCCCAGATCTCACAGGACCACAGGATTAATGAAGCACAGTGAACAACTCTAGAATTAGTGTTACACCTCATGCCAAAGCCATTTGGACACGTGTGCATTTAAAAGGCCTTGAAAGTGAACACTAGTGCAAACCACACAACAACACAGTGCAGTGTCATCTTGTACAGAGAGCATTTTGCTTACCTGACTTTTAATCCTGTTGGGCACTAATTTGCTTGTTTCCATTTAAAATATTTGTCCCAACTGTGCACATCTCAGAGGGGGGAAAAAAATCTGTAATTCATGTATCACACAGTTTCGGTTTTTGACCAGGGTTAGTATCTCTAGTACAGAACAAGTGTTCCACCCCAGACAGCAAATCTCACAAGTGTTGGTAATTTTTCTGTGATGATAGCAACTGCAGTCACTCACTTGGCTATCTACTCCATGATGTATGAAAATGTAGTTCTGTAGTGGATTTTATTACGAAGTTCCAAAATGTTGATACCAGCATAAAATTTCTATTTTATGTGGGAAATGTAGGTCATTCCAACAGGCAGGAAGAAAATAGGAGGAGGATCTAATGGGGTAGTAACCTTTAACCATAACAGTTTGCAACGGGATTTCCTTTGGAGCCAGCAGAATAGCTGTCACAGGAACCTGATGTCATACTAATTGTAGAATCTTTATAACTCAGTACTGCAGGGAAATAACCTTGCATAAGTATCAGGCTCTTGACTGAGTCTGCAAGACTGTCAAGCAAAAAAATGTTACAGCAAGCTTTGTGAACACTCCATCCCTCGAAAAGATTACCTTACCTCCACTGTCTGTCTAACCACCATTGACAGTCAATACAACAAGTTTCAGAACAAAATTCCTTGATTTCTAATTTTTATTAACTTTTTATTAAAAGATACGGAACTTTGGCAATACCAGTTTACTGTCTTTTAAAAACATGATGTAAAGTCTTCTAAGTTAATAAATCAGGTGCAAAAGTTTCAACATTAGCAGCCTTTGAAGTCAGCTCTTCTGTTGTCCACAGTAGCCATTTTTTATTACTACCACTTCTCAAAAGTTCTTATTGACATAATTTCCACAGCTGAGCCCACAGCAATGCAGAAGTCCTCCTTTCTATCTGTTTTTTCTCAGTTCCCAAGCTGACAAATAAAAATGATGGCCCAGATTCTCTGTCTGTTCTGTTGCTTATGCCTCAGACAGTGTCCTTAGTGCTGACAGCCTCCTGCAATAGCTGTGGCATTGCTATTTTCTGTGCACTGGTCTGTATGCCCTTGCCATATGAATAGTTCTTTTATTACCCTTATTTGCTGTACAAATGAGATAGTCTTTACATCATTATTTCTGCAGGTATGTGTAGTTCTGTAGTCAGTCAGATGATATGCTATCCTGTGGAAAACTCCAAAATAATCAAATAGATGAAAAAAATCATCTTAATTCTCCCCTCCCAGTACTGTTTGCATTTTGAATAACAATTAACAGAACAAGTAAGGCATTATATGAATACTCTAGGCACAGGTTGTTACTGCTGTTAATGTACCTTCTGAAAGAGAAAACACATGGTTAAAGTATGCTTGCCAAGAGATCTGTTTTGAGCTCAAAGATCAATAAGTTACATTTGCATCAGGAAGATTTTTTCATTTTTCTTCCTTAGCTTTTGAAACTTTATTTTTTTTTCCTACAAAATAATGCTTCTCTGAGGTTGAATATACTCATGGTATTTTTGCTTTTTTCTACAAGGGGATCTGGCCAGTCTTTGATAATCTGACTCAATAAACATAATATAAATGGATTAAAAATTTATAATAAAAGAGATGCAGTGATTTATTAACTAGTGTGATTATAGACAGTCAAGTTTTACAGTCACAATGTTCATTTTACCCAGTTTACTGAATTGTATGTGTACAGACTGTAAATCTTTTAAACAATTAAAAAATACATCAAGAGCAGTTTGATATAGTATTGTTGCCAGAAGTTAAGTTGACCTCAGTATAACATCTGCCTCAGCACTTTCCCACCTCAGTTAACAAAAACTGCCCTCAGTTTCTGGTGATAACAGATAGAGGCAGAGGAGTGGGAACAGCCCAGACTTCAGAAAAGCTTTAGTCAAAAAAAAGGTAAACCTGTAAGGTGAGCCCATCAGGAATGAGCCTTACTTGTCTGTATGTGCCTTTGAGCAACCTGGAGTAACAGCCCTGAGCAGCTCCCTTCCTATGGCTTTTAGTTTTCAAGCCAAAATATTACAGATCTGAAGCTATTATTGAAGTGAATTTGGAAATAAGTTGTAATATACTTTCATAAACCAAAGAAGTCTAATTTGTCACCAACATCAGGGAATCAGAAAAGCTTGGGTATCTTTTTCCTAGAAAAATCCAGGGAAACCAGATTTTTGCAGAGAAGCAGAAGCAAATATGTTGGTCTGCCACAGACTGTTTTCAGAAGTGCAGCTGGCAATTAGGTATTTAGGAATATCTTGAATAACGAAAAATTTCCTGCATAGACGTAAGAGACAATAAATAGCTATCTATGCAAAAATAACAAGTTTCTTCTAAGACTGTTTTTTAGCGTTTTGTTTTTGTCGTTCCTTTTGCAGGTGTTGCTGCTTTGGATTCCAGCGTTTCTGGGAAGATTGGTTTGCGAGCCGTCATATATTATTTCTGCACTACAGTCATTGCTGTAATACTAGGTACTCTGTGATACTGTACCTTTTAAAATCCTCAGCATCGCCTAATTGCAAGTACACAGCACTGTGACGTTACTAATTTCCCAGGTCAGGATGGGGAGAAGAGACAGGAATAACACCAAACGTCTTGACATGCTTGTAGCCAGATACAGGGAGAAGTTATTCTTGCTGTTCACAGTTGGGCTGTATCCATATCCAATATGAAGCCACAGGCAGTTTTACCATACATTTCAACTGAGGGAAGATTAGGAGCTGTCTGCTTCGGTAAACAGTGACCAGCAGTGGGAAAGCTGAACGAACATCAAAGGCCAGCCTTAACTACGAAGTGAATTTCCTCAATAGCAAAATGATAGATTCTCACTGGTTCTCAGATGCAAGAATGTGTAATATGTCTCACCCGAAAGAATGACAGAAAATATGGCATCTCTTGTCGTCTCGTTTCCTTCCTAAAAGGTTTTTGTCGCCTCTGTCACTGCCAGGCTCCACTCTTACCTCTCTGAAGTCCACATATCCTCTTGCAGGAAATTCATTCCCTTCAGTCAGCCTTGAAATCTTCCATATTTGCTTAAACAAATAGCTTCAGCCTGCCGTCTTAAATAAGAAATAAAATTAAATCCTCCCTTGTCAGCTGTCATGTAGTTTGTGGCTTATCTTTGTATTTTGTAGAGTCGGAGTGAATACTGTGGCTAGATATCACCCACTTAAAGAAACATGTATTTAGTTAAAGGACAAAATGTACATCGTATGTGGCCTACTTGTAAGGCAAAGCAATATTTGTCAATGGAAAAAGAATCACAAACAGACATATGAGACCAGATAAATTTCTAGAGATTGCATCATTGGGAATAATATACCTCTGCGGTTACACCATTTAGGATGTCTCATCTGTCTGGTAATTCTTCGTGCACACATAGTGAGGAAGATTAATACAGACTAACATTAATATGTATCTAACTTCGAAATTGTCCCTATCCTGAGAGACGGGTTAAATTGCACGATCTCCAGAGATCCCTGCTGTTCTACGGTACTATGATATTACTTGTTTCATTGTTCAGAGCTACACAGATTCAGTTCTGCTTTTATTCATAGCTGTCATTAGAAAGTCTTGTTCCTGGCTGTTGAAGGGCCATCCAAACGCCTTTTTATCCCTACACTGAGCTTTAGTGGCTTCATTTTCTTTATGTTTGTTTGGATGTGGAGGAGGGGGGAAAAAAAAGGTAAAAATAAAGCGCATTTATAAGTGCCTAGTGTTTCATGTAATAGAAAAAATACCTGAAACAAAGCCACTAAGTGAACGGAAAATTTGTCACTGATTTCAGTATTCACAAGGTCAAAGGTAGTATTTCTTGCCCATATTTTTTTATACCAGTCTGTTTCTGAAGCCCTTCTCTTATGTAACTTTATTGCTAACTAACTTTACCAAAACATCCCGTTGTACTCTGGGGTCACAGGAGAATGCATTTGCATTCATATTTGAAAGCTAGTTACAAAAAGAGCTGCATGAGGGAAAAGGTAAATAGCAATTCAAAAGATCACCATGCAAAAGTTACAGAACACTTCCGCTGAAGCCCAGCTGAAGTAATTTACCTTCTTGGTGAGCAGTAGTGATTTAGTATCATACATGCAAAAACAAAGTAGAGTGTCCAAGTCCAGTGGCAAAGCTGCAAGTAGCTCCTCTGTTGGGGGAACCCACACATTTAAGGACACCACCTGTAGACTTCTCTTTTCTGAACAGCACTGTGTGAGCACCTTGGGAAAGTATTTGGTAACTTCAGCTCACAAAGAATTTAGCTACACGGGATATGGTGAGGTAGGATGCACCAATGCCTCTGCTTGCACTGTGAGCTCTTCTGCTTCTGTTTCTGCAGGGATTGTCTTAGTTGTGACCATTAAACCCGGAGTGCCTCAAACAGCAAACGAGATCGACAGAGTGGGCAGTACTCCAGAAGTCAGTACTGTTGATGCCATGCTGGATCTGATCAGGTAAGGTTTTCTTTTTTAGTTTCCCTACCCTTGTTGCAGAATTCCAAATAAATACAAATAAAGTTGTGATATGTGATAAAATAAAAGTGCTTTCTGATGTTGTTTGAATGAATGAGGAGAGAATAGCTTGTATTCCATCAGGTTAGACATTTTGGAGTATATTCAAAGCAGTTTGTTAACAAAATTTCTCTTTACACCATAGACCTTGGTTAATAAACCAACAATAACAAAAATTCCTTCCTTCGCAGCAATTGATACGCAGGATTTACCTAGGATGAAGAAATATCCAAAAGGGATTGAATGGTTGGCAGGTTACTGACGGCAGTTTCTGTGTCATCCAGGATAGACAATCCCCTGAAATTGTCATGTTATGTTTCCTCTCCTCAAGGGAGGATGCAGAGTAAGAGACACAGTATGTGAAGGTTTCATAGCATTGCACAGTCAACAAGTTTGCTGCGTCACCAGTATCCAAGGCAACCTTATAACAAATCTTTCCCCATCAGCATCCTGCAAAACGATAGATACTTAAAGCAGTTAGAAGAAGGAAACCCTTAGAAAAGTCGGCAGAAGACTTGAGCAGGTTTTCAGAGCTAACGTGCTTAAAGAATTAGAAAAATTTCACTAAAAAGCACTGCATTTCCAATAGTGGCTAAGTAGTTCCCTCAGAAATGTTTCTGTGGACTATTTTTTTCCTCCAGCTGCAATTAGTCCCTGTTCTTTATCACTGTTCCTGCCCAGTATTTTTTTGTAGAGTTTTTACTTAATCTATCATGTAGGAATCAACTGCCACATATCTAAAATTGGCTTTCTCAGCATTTTTTATTGCAGGAAATGTGACTGGCATTTGCAGATACAACTCCAGATACACAGTTCTTTGACATTTGTAAAATACACACATGCATATATACATGCATGTATATAACTGCCTTGAAAAAGTCACTGTCCTATTTAATAGAAAATGTCTGCTGTCATCTGGGGCATCTCTGCCCCAGCACAGGTCAGCATAGACCTCTTTCAGAATAACTCAATTTCTCTGAGGTTTGAATGTGAAATAGTTAACAGTCCTCCACACCACAGCCCCGTATTCAACAGTCCACAGCTCTTCCCAGCCTCTGTCCCTTCCTGCCTGTTCATGACCAGAATGGCAGCTCCTTGGATGGCTCATCTCATTCCTCACGGTCATGTGCCCAGGAATCAATGAGGGGGACTGCATTAGAAAACCTAGTGCGGTCTGTTACAAGCAGCCTCCACATGAACATTTCCACACGTATTCACAGGGCTGAGGTAGCTCCATGCACAAAAAATCTTCCTATAGCACGCAGTGGTGTGAATTGTAATTCAGAGTAGTCTGGGGTTTTGCTGCAGTTTATAGCTCAGCTTCTTGTAAATAAACGTAGGACTGTAAATGAGAAGTTTGAGATCTGAAATTCTCTTTTCAAGGAATTACAGTTACTTTTCCTATGTATTTATATTCATCAGATCTAAGATCCAGATCAAGACAGTCTTGTAAAGATTAAGGAAAATCCCAAGCTTGTACAAACTGCTCTTGCCTTTGAAGAATTTCTGGTTTGAAACTTTGCTTTAAAAACTTGAAAAGTAGAGGCAGGAGTTTGTGAAAGTTCTGGAGGAGAGATGAAGACTTCTGCTTCAATATATAAACTGCTTTTTTCTGCACTGGACTGAATATTCAATAAATACTTGATTCATGCTTTTTTCTGCACCCATTTGAATCTGAAATTGGTGGTTGGAAAGGAGGCACGCAACTGGATTGCACTGCTTCTGATCTAATTTCCTAATTTCTTCTGATGTAATTTCCTAATTTTTCAGTCTGTGATAAAGGTTCTTGGCCCTGGAAGAACATGTGGGAATCTTCCATCAGCAAAGATTAATTTCTGAATTCAAAACTACAATAGAACACACCAAATACTGATTCTTCCAGCACAGCTTTTATGAGAAGGTTTTGAGGGGTTTTTTTTCTGCTTATATTTGACAAATCCTATAAAAATGTTGTATCCTGTGTTCCTCGTGCAAATTGTGGAGATGATGCATCAGGAAAAAACAACACTGGGTTTAGTCGCTTACCAACAGAAATGTCAAATACTTAAAAATAAGCCTGAAATTTCAACAGTAGGAAAGCAGTCAACTGATCATTGGGAGTCCTGAACCCTTAATTTCTGATGTCTTTATATCTGATGGTGCAAAATACTCTGCTTTCTAGATAAAGGAACACAAACATGATCAGTTTTTCAAGCAGCAGATTTTATAATTTTGTTTATGTAAACAATTTGTTCTTAGTATGCTGCAATGTTGAAATGCATCTACTTTTTCAACAGGAATATGTTCCCAGAAAACCTTGTCCAGGCTTGTTTTCAACAGGTAAGTTTGGACATTTCTCTTTGCTACTGTAGTTTTCGTTGCTAACTGCAAGTTACTCTTATGTCCTCAAAAACTATGTCAGGTAAGAATTATTTCTGAGAGTCCCGGAGTATCTTAATCTCCCATAAAAAGACTTATTTTTAAAGCAGCTTGGTTTTATTTCCATTATGAGAAACACTGTTATCAGCTTAAGTCCTTGATCATCCCTTGCAAAAAGACACCGTTTAGGAGCTGGGTGCTGGAACCAAGCAGTGTTCAAGACAAGATTTTTCCTTTTGGGACAGGCAGAGTTAGAAGAACTATGTCATGATGATCTATTTCCATGTTTTTAAAAAGCCTCACTGTCTGGTGAAATCTGTGTAACTTAGCCCTCACCTTGATGTGTCTCACATCTAGTGTCCATTGCCAGATTTTGTGATCCATCTTAAGAAAAAGGGAGCCAATTGGTAGAGTCTATTTGAGGTATTTTTCAGATAAAGTGAGATTGTTGAGATGAAAGCGGAAACTGCTGTCTCTATATCAGATTTACTGCAGATTCAGTCATCTTTATCTATAAATATATCAACTGGTTTTGCTCTCTGCTTCCCTATTTTGTCTTCCCCAGCAGCTGCCTACCAATTTATCCGAGGTTTGTGTGTGAGGTAGTTAACCTTTCCCAGGAAATAATGTGAACTATCCTGCTGTGCACCGCACTGAATGTATTTCCAGTTTATAAAGTTTCTTCATGTGTTTTTTCAGTTAACAGGTGTTAATTACTGTTACCCAACACTAAGGGGACAGACAGGTTCTTTTAGAGATCCTTGGCAGAATGATGACAGCACTAAATCGTAGTTACAATTAAAGCTTTATTTTCTAAACAGGATATTAGTATAGCACAGAATTTATAGTCAGAATAGCACAGGTTTTCTATAAGCAGAATCAGTGTAGTACAATTTGATAGTAGCACCTCTTAGCTTAAGGTTTCTAATCATCCTGACCCTCTGCAGATTGTGTCAATTCTTAATACTTGGTTTGCTGTGTCAACTTAACAATCATAATCTAGACTCAAAAATCACATAAAAGCATATGAGTCACTGCCTCAGAATTCAGAGGAAGCAGATGACAGTGGAGGCATCCCTGGCTGCCACGGCGTCCCAGTCTCACTGTCCAGCAGCAGTTCTGGTCCACGTTGCCCCTTAGGACTTGTAACTGCTTGGTTTTATGGACAGTGCTCCGGTGCTGTTACGCTTCCCTGCTCTGTGGTGGGGTCATCACCATCTCCTGGCTGGCCGGGTGCCTGGGACCTTCAAGGGCAATAAGGAGGGGAGTGGTCAGCTTGGTAGCCAGGAACATCGAGGCTGGTGTGGAGGGGAAGAAAAAGTCTGTTTGGTTTTTCAACTTGGTGCACAGGACCTTCAGGGCCTGGTAAGGAGGGGGAAGGGAACTAATAAGTGACCAGCTCGGTCACAGAGAATGGCTGTTTGCCTTATATAATGGTGTTAGTTATGCTAACCATGTTACCAGGAGTCTGGTTGTATGAGATACACCTGCTCTGCAGACCTCGTGGCTGTCAGCAATTCTCTCCAGACTGTTTGTCCCAGCAAAAAGTCCCCTTGCTGTTGCCAGGAACTTTATCTCATCCCCTGCAAGACTGCGCCAGGTCCACAGGGCACCCCAGAGCCTGAGGAGCAGAATTCGTAGCATATTACCTGTTAATCACTTGTTTGATCTACAGCGTCTGAAGTACAGAGCTGTGATGGCTCACGTGAATTGGGAAATAACGTGTTTGTCTACATTTGCTACCTTCAAGTCAGACTGGTTCATCTTTCCCTTATTTTTCTTGAGCAGAGGCTGTGCCTGCATCCATCCTTCAGTTTCCTTGTGTTTCTAAATAAGCTCTTCTATTTTTAAAAAAAACTTTTACAGTATAAAACTAAGCGTGAAGAAGTTGAAGCTACAACTGATGTGGATAAAAATAGCTCCACGTTTACAGAAGAACCTGTTACAACTGCTGCGACAGCAGAGGCTTCAGAGGTGTGACCTTTATTGTTATATCCTTTCATAACATATGAAGCAAGGAGAAAGAACGTAGGTTAAATTTGGTTTAGTTGGTGTGGTTAGTGATTGAGAAAAGGAAGGAAATGGTACGTAGATAGATTTTAGCAAGGGCACAAAACTTAGTAAGTGAATGCTAGAGGTGATTATGAGGATCTTCAAGTAGGTTTAAGAATACCAGAGGACTCCACTTGTGATTAAGCAGACCAAAGATAATAGATGATGTGAGAAAATAATCCGTTCTTATACTCTCATATACTCCATTTAATGTATATGCTAATGGATTGTCAATTTGCTGAGAAATTAAAGAAAACAGTCACTGTGGAAAGGCTAGATGTATATGAGAACAAGATGTTTGAGCAGCAATAAGATAGCTGTAAGCACTGCAGAAAGAAATGAATGGAAAGTCACAATATTTTTTTTAATGGAAAGCAAAACAATGGAAGGCATTTGTTAATTAATAGTTTGTTACTCTGCAAAAAAATGTAAAGAGACAAAAGTGACGAAGATGTTTAACAAGCCTCTGATTAGAGGTGTGATAGACTTATGGTGTTGATGGTTTATAAAGCCTAGAATTACACTGGAGGAGAGGGAGAAAGGAATTCAATAGAATATGAACACAGAACAATGAACAGTACCAAATCAATATACATTTTATTATACTCCTTCCAAATTTCATCTCATAGTAATGAGAGCATGGGAACATGAATTATATGAAAAGACATGAATTAAATCAAGCAGGCTGTAGTGAAGAATTGCACCCTTTCCCTCATGTGTTCACACTGCACACACAGCATAATGTGTGAATACCTGCCTATTTAGTAGAATTTTTATGTTAATGTGCATTCAATTCTGCTATATATTATGCAATTTCACTGGTTTCAGCTGAACACTAGATTTTACACTTGGGGACAAATTGGACACCATTGTCCCAGTTCTTACGCAATGGACTGTTTATCTTAAACCTAGACACAAACCCTTGAGTTGCTCAGAAATAACCACAAGGATTCTACATCAGCTGTATTTTGTTCTTCACAGTAGGGAGTAAGTCTTGAGTGTACTGAAGGCATGACTGTGGATGCCTAGACCTTGCCGTACTTTGTGTCATAAGTCTATAGAAAGGGCAACATAAATTAAGAGGTGCTTTATTCCCTGCTACAGTTTGGTAAGATCCTTGCATAGCTTTAAAATACAAAGCTTTCAAAGACATTTTAATTCTACCTTCATTCCTGAACTTGCCCACTGGGCCCTGCCAGATGGCGAACAGAGTGACTGGAAAAGAGCTCCATGTCTCTTCAAAGAAAGATCTAAATGTGTTTTCATTTTAGAACTTTTTAAAGTAAATTCAGTGTTTTGAGATAGTAACTTTTTTCTCTTTAATCTAATCTACAGAATAAAACCCAAGAATACAAAGTTGTGGGCATGTATTCTGATGGCATCAATGTGCTGGGGTTGATCGTCTTTTGTCTTGTTTTTGGAGTGGTTATTGGGAAAATGGGAGAGAAAGGACAAGTACTGGTGGATTTTTTCAATGCACTGAACGAAGCTACAATGAGAATAGTTCAGATAATTATGTGGTAAGTCCAAGGACATACTGGCATTTTCTTACAACTTCTTTCAATAGGTTCTGTCATTGAAGAGGTAGGAGCAAGCTCATGCTTCACGTTTTCTTTACTATGATGCTTTACAGCAAACAACTTTAAAAGAAAGACTGGTAAAAAGTTCCCTTTCTACAGAATTTGATCCTTTTGAGGAAACTGGAGACAGGGCTTCCACTTACTGTACACTAAAGAAACAGTCCTATTGGTACACAAGAAACCTGAGCTTTTCAGACATTCTTGCTAGAGGTTTATATCAAACCCATACAACCGCACTGTGATTTGAGGACTGTGGAAGCATTACCACCCACATGCACTTCTTGGTCGTGAACACCATTCCCTGATAGCCATTATGTTCACAGGACAGCTGTTCTTGGACCGAAGTTCCTTTAGAAATGTTAATTAATATACAAGACACAGAACAGAGCAAAATCCAGAATGGTTTGCAAAATAAAACTTAGCATCATTTATTTTCTGCTAATAGGTTCTGCGAGACAACATTCTCACAGTGTTCTCTGATAATATTCTCAGAGAGGAAAAGCAATTTAAAAATGTAGCAACTCATCTGATGATAGCATTTGGCTGGACTTCACAGCTATTCACAGAGCTTTTGTCTATACAGATCACAGTTACAGGATCAGGACTATAAGCACATACAGTCCTTTCCAGAGTTTGATCCTGCATGTGGAGTGCCTTGTGACATTTACTACAATACTCTGCTCATATCCACGTTTCACACAAACAGTAGCTTATCGGACCTGACCCTTCCATGGATTTTTCTTCCATCCTAGCACACTGAGATGCCTGTAAAAGAGTAAACCTGTCCAGGGTTTAGCTGCACACTTCTTGCTGCCTTTGAAGGAAGGTAAATCAGTTTCTGCAACTTGCCCTGCGCTGGGCAACTGGTTCAGTCCCCAGCTGGGTTAGAGCCCCATGAAATAGGCTGCCTCACTCTGCAGCAAATTACCACTAAAGAGACCTGAGCGCTAGCACATGCCACAGATACAGGATCCTGCCCATAAGCTTACTGTCCATTGTCTTGCATATGCCTGAAGCTGTGGCTATAGATTCCCTGTGTTTCTACAGATGTGGGAGATGTTGCCTTGAATAAGGTAGATTTTGATGCTGGCAGTGTGACAAATTATTTCTGCTTTCAACAGGTTCAGGGATCAGAAGGAACTAGGAGTCCCTGCTTTGCACAGGGACAAGGTACTATTTTATTTGTGAAACAGCACACACACCTTTAGTAGATTTATAGTTCATATTTTAAGATGGATACATTTTATATATTCACAGATTTATAGATAAATTTATATTATTCAAACCTCCGAACTGGCAACTTGTCTCTGTGACAGCCTGCTCTCTATACCAAAAGGAATGCAGTGGAGCTGATGCTAGCCTAAGTCCTGCTTTTTGCCTTGGATTTTCTGTAAGCAATAGCCCATGCGTCTATTGATGTCTGTAAGGCATCGCCTTGTGTAAGTTTACTGAGGGATAGGGACCCATCCATCAAGCAACACACTGATGACTGTACTATCCCAACATACTAAAATCACTCTTATTCTGTGCAGGTGACCCGCATATAGCCCTCAGTGCTGCAGGGCAGCTGCTGTAAGCACAGGAGACCTTTCCCATCTGTGTGTGATTGCAGAATGCACAGATATTGGTCTCAGCCCTGCAGACTTCCACCTCCAAGTAAGCTTATGGCTATGCATAAACATTTGCTGCAGTAGGACAAAGCCCAAACCACTTGCCAGCTTCTGTATGTTCTATGACACCAGGTCATACACTACTTGTTAGAGTATGCATAGGGTTTCATTTACTCTGATTTTCTAATCTCATTTCATCATCACCTCTATTATAGTCTTGCTGCAAGTGAATTAAGTCAGTTGTATAATAGAATATGAAATAAAAATCTTCAGTTGTGTAATATAATATAAAAAAAAATCTTCCATCTGTTGTAAAAAGTTATACTGTGTGAGAAATTATTCCATGGTGAGCATGCAATATTTCTGAGAATGCATTTTTAACTGCTTTGTTTTTGCTTTCTAGGTATATGCCAATTGGTATCGTATTTTTAATTGCTGGGAAGATAATAGAAGTTGAGGACTGGGAAATCTTTCGTAAACTGGGTCTTTATATGGCCACAGTACTAAGTGGGTATGTAATTTCTTAAAGATGAAATTAAATGTGTGCAGTTTTTAGAGCTCAGTTGATTACAACTAAATTATCCACAACACCCAGCCTCTTCTAAGTCAGAGAGAAATTTCTTGTCAGTGAAAATTAGGTGAGGATGTTTTGATGCACATTTTGCTGAATGTATGTTTTATTTTGAAAAGTCACTGCCTTGCAGTCTGAAAAAAAAAAAAAGGCAAAGGCTGTTCCTGTATTCATTGTTTCATCTTCTCAGCTTGATGCTGAAACATACTATCATTGTATTTTTGAGGGTAGTAATGCTTCTGTTAGATACTAGAAGAAGTTGAAAAAGGGTGAGGTTGTGAAGTATGGCTTACTGAGGATTGCCAGCCTATCGAAAATACACAAATATCTGGATTAAGCTGAGAGTCTTCATGGGATCTGTGGGCCTAAGGTGTACCAGCATACAAAGTGTAATGTGCTGAGTTGTGAGTTGGCCGTTTAGTGTAGTTCTGTAAGAGAGAAGCCATCTTGTCATTTTCACAGCTATAACCTGCTCCATGAGGGATGATGGTTGAAATCTCTGGGATAGTAACATGAATAACATGCATCTCAGTATTTCATTTGGCTACACATTTGAAAGGGTCAGTAACTGCCAGAAGCCGAGGTAATATGATCTCTCATAATTTAATTTCATGTGATCTACCCCTCAGATATCACACAAGCTAGGATTTTGGGGAAAGACCTAACAGTTCCGTATTGTGATTGAAATATGTCTCCTTGGATTCTCTTTTCTACCTCTAGGAATACACTGTTCTGTTATTGGTAGCCCTATAATCTCGCTTCCAAGATCAGCTAAGAAATGATGAGGTGTTCACATCTTGAACTGAACACCCCAAAAAGTCTGCCAAAAGAAACAAACTTATATGTTGAAAAATGTATTACCTATGTCAAAATCTGTGCACTTGTTAGGAACACCATGATTTTTATCTTTATTTCTTTATTAATGGAGGTCTCTGGTGGTATTCAGCTGGAAAAATCAGAAATCTCAGTGTTCATGTCTACATGTAAAGTAGGTGCTTATAATCCCCTTATATTTAGTTGAGATCTGGGATTTAATTCAGTTACCTTAACATCGGCATCAAGGTGGTATATTTTTGTGTCAGGGGCATTTGAGATTCCTTCTCCCATCTGATAACCAATTGCTAGTCCATAAATTTGTAGATCCTCTGTAATGGCCAGCATTTCTGTGTAGATTCACCCCAAATGGCATTAGACCCTATCTTCAGGCAGCGGAATCAATTAGTAAAACCAGGGAAGCCTAGAGTTTTTTGAAGCTTATGTTGCAGAAAATGCATACATTTGACAGTTGAATTATTCTCTGGACTCCACTGATTGCATGGTTTGGACAGCTGCAGATTGCACTGGGAGATGGGACACAGTTCCATGTAGACATCTGGTTGTAAACATCTAAATACAAGTGTTTAATCCCTGAGGTGAAACCCAGCACATATTCCTACACAACCTGCTTCATAAGCAAGACCTTTTAGCAAGGCCTGTTGTGACAGGATGAGGAGTAATGTTGTAAACTAAAGGAAGGTAGATTTAGAGTGGATAGAAGGAAGAAATTTTTTACAATGAGGGTGGTGAAGCACTGGCACAGGTTGCCCAGAGAGGTAGTGGCGGACCCATCCCTAGAAACATTAAAGATCAGGTAGGACGGGGCTCTGAGCAACCTGATCTAGTTAAAGATGTCCCTGCTCACTGCAGGGTGGTTGGGCTAGATGACCTCTAAAGATCCTTTTCAACCCAAAGCATTCTATGATTCTATAAATGATGCCAAAAAGAAAACTGATCCCTTCCCATGTCAGTGCAGAGCCGACAGCCGACGTTGACGAGGAGCCATGGGGATTGCACTGTTTGTTAGTTACTCCTTCAAGGCAAAAGTAGCTGGTGAAGTTGCAGAAGCAGCAGTAGCTATCTCAATAACTTTGCCAACCATCAAAACGTTTTTTCTATTCTTTTTCAAGACCCTTGGCTATGTAGAAAAGTCACGTGGAGGAGGTTACACTTGCATGATGTGGAGCCTTGCAGATGTGGAGCCTGAGAAGGGGAAACTTAGCTGCTCCAAACGATAAAAGTTACAGTAGTAGATCATTATGTGTCGCTGAAGACTATCCTACAAAGAACCCTTTTGACAGATAAATGGATATTACAGTCCCAATAAGTTAAATGCATTTAAATTTCTATTTCCAATTCATTGAAGCATGACTTCTAGGCTGTCTTGGTTCGTTGCCTTAGCATCCACTCCTGTAATTCCTTCAGTGTACTAAGGATTTATTCATGTTTTTTCTAGAGGCTAGATCCAAAGTTGTTCGAGATCTTCTTTCCCCCACTTTATGCATATGCATGCTATACTTAAAATGTCATTCACATGCTTTCTGACAGCCAAGCAGAGAGATGGGTAATGTATTAGTCTTAATTGCAAACTGCACTGTAAATAGTCAAGAAGGCTCTTTTTTTTTGTTTGTTTTGCATTAAACTCTGCTAGATAATCATATTTATTTCAAAGTTGTTGTTTTGTTTCAGGCATAAGCCGATATGTTTGGACTAGCTGTTCAAAAATCATATCAGACAAATGACTTCGTAAGCAAGAAGTACAGCTCCAGAAATAGCACTGAATCATGACTTTTTCAAAATGTTACAGAGAGGAGTGCAAGTTCTGTTTGTCTAATGCATAATGGAGTTTTTGTGAGTTTTCATTTAGACTGGGAAAAGAAACCAAATTTTTAAAGGATGCAAAAGTTGGTGTTTACCAAGAGGCTGTAAATCAAGAGGCTAATATTTTCTATGTGAATTATAAATGATTGATAACATGACTACAAGTTAGGTGGAAGTCATTTATGGAATGATACTGTATCACTTCTGCAGGTTTTTTATGTTAACTCCAATTAACTCAGTGTAGGAATATGTTGGATGGATTATTAATGCCCTTTGACTTCAGTTTTAGATCAGACAGCAAGTTCTGCAGTTTTATATCTGATAGCGAATTTTATGACTGTTTACCCGTTAATGGTTACTCTGTGTACTGCGACAGGGTGTGTCGTGCTTAAGATATGTGTGAAGACACAGTGCCTTCTCCAGAGTACTTTTATTGCAAAGTAAACTACCATCACAAATAGTCTCTCATTTAGCTGGTAACCCTGGGCTTGACAGGCGTAACAATTTTAAGCATGTTCCCAAGTGCCATCAAAAAATTGTATATAGTAAGGGTGCACACCTTTACATCTTTGGAGAGAAGAAGTCTCTGTTCCACCAGACTCCCTTGTGCTGCCATGATAATCCCTGATGGATGCTAGGGTAGATCTCTGCAGCATTTCTCTCTCTTACAGGATGGCCTACAGCAGGTGATGCTCAGGGTGTTGTGGAGGAGGGCTAACAGCAGCACACTCTTTGCAAAACTGACCATCAGGGAGGGCATGTTGTAATCAGAGCACAGGAGCAAAGATGACAATGTACACGCAAGGCTGTAGGCTGCAGGGAAAAGGTGCTTGTTCTACATTTTCCAGCCTGCAAGAATACCCTTTTCACCACCTTTCAGCAAACAGGAGTTGTGCTTTTTCTTTGTTTTGGTTTCTTAAACACTGCTGTTCCCACCATCTTTTTGGTTTTCGTCTTTATTTTCTTGACCTTGTCTGTTTGCAGTGTTCCATTCATCAACATCTCCTGTAGCTGTCTCTCTGTCACTCTCCCTGTAAGTTTGATCCTGAGAATTACAGGTTATCTTAAACATAATTCTTGTATTGCCTATCAAGAAAAATGTGCAAGAGCATGAGGGCTGGTGTGTCTTATCCTCCTCTTCTTTTCCTGTAACTTCGCTCTCCAGCTCACCTTCTATCTCTCCTTCTTCCCAGCTTTATTTTTCATGACACCAGCTCTCACCCACCATTATCTGCAACATATCTCAGTCTTTATGTCTCATTCAGGTCACCATGAGGGAACAGACTTCCCCCAGTGCCTCTGCTCCAGTTGGCCACTAAGTATCTTCAGCCTCTCACTTTTAATGGTGGCAGTGTCAGGATGAGGAGATGTTAGCAGTCACAGAGGAGGAAAATCAAAGTAGGAGGCATAATACAAGTGCCAGAGGACTGACAACCTGAGGTGGAAAAAAAAAAGGAAGCGGCAGCAAGCAGACTCTCTCTTGCCTGTGCCTTTGTCTCTTCTGAAAGCAGCAAGACAGCTGCATCTCTGGACACTGTAAGGAATGCCAGTTTGGAATTCTGAGGGACAAGATTCTTCCTATCTTAAAGTTGGACGCTATTACAATTTCTCTCTTCAATTGCCGATTACGATTTCTGACATAAAAATTTCTGCTGCTTGCTGTGAGTTGCATTTCATGCGTGAAAATAAATATTAGTTCAAATTTGTTTCATGAAAATCAGTGTTAGCAAAGGATAATGCCATGTTCATGCTGCCACTGTTGGTCTAAATTTTTCAGAATAACTGTTCGGAAGTCAGTATGCTTCTAGATGTAGACATACTTGAAATGTTTATTCTCTTCCACATTTTGTTAAGACACCCAACCATACCACTTTATATTTTTTCTGTGTGTTTTGCAGAATTCAGTTTGTTCTCAGGCACCATTGTATAAATTATTAGGTTTCTTTCTAGAGTTCTTTACAAAATTTTATCAATATATGTGACATGCTGTTATATGTATTCCACTAAATAAATAATTTGTTCACACACAGAATGAAAAATTTAATACTTCAAAAAGATAATTTTTCCAAGAAAACATATAGTTAGGTTTTGTAGGTGATTTTTAGTGCTGTTATGGATTTCTGTACAGTGGCTGCTGCTCTCCTAATTGCCTACTTTTGGCAGAACAAGAGATACCATGATTTTATTGCTGTCTTCATCAGCTGCTCTGAAATCATAAAATGCTATTACAACACAGCAACGTTCACAAGAACATCTTGTGAGGACAGAATAAGAATCCCAAGGTCATACATGGCAACAGTTCTGGGCTTTACGTTTCCAGGCTTTGATAATTTCTTTTCACAAGAAGCTGATGCTCCTATAATTGCTTGTGACCTTGGAACAAAGGAAATCTTTCACAGACCCTTCTCATATATTTTGTTTCAAATATACTCACAGCAGGCTGTTTACCTCTAGTCTTAATGGCCACAAAGCTCTGCATTCATATGCATTCAGGATTAATGCACAATGTTCAAAATTAAAGCACAAGTTGAAGGATCAATTTATCCCTGAGACCAATGCAAATATCCAGGCAAATACACCTGAGCAGCTAAAGTCAAGAAGACAGTTTGATCTTTTGCATGTCAAGACACAGTTTTAAAAATTAATAGTTTCAAAAGACAGTATTTCAACATCTTACAACATTAAAGATGGTGAGACGATGTACATGTCATTTGTACAATCTGAAATACCTCGCTACATTTTAATTGTACACCTAAGTTTACACAGTTTTCAACAAAGTAAGTGTGGATTTTTTCGTAGGATCATGTTTAAAATTTCTGCAGAAAGATGTGGACCTCATCTGTCCCTGATTGGGAACTGTATTTACCGTTAATTCCAAAACATTTTCTATAATAAGGGCAGATCATTTAGTTTGTTTTTCTGATTTGTCTCTAGTCTGCATTGTAAGGATTTGGCAGGAGAGTGCAGTGTTTTACCAAATTTCAGATCACTGTCTGCATATCAGTTTAAATATTGTTTATTACTCTAGTTTTCTCATCTTTGTCAGTTTAATATTATTCCAATATATTAGTTAAATCTTACTCTACTTTGGAAAGAGAGACAATTAATGATCTTCCTGTCCCTGCCAAAAGAAAGTATGGAACAGCATTAGTTCGCATTTTTTTAAAGGTGGTATACTCTAAATTTTGAACATAGGTATCACTGAAGTCTGCTTCAGTGTTTCATAAGTGTACTTGAGGACAGAACTAGATACCTATTATCACCGTCTTATTAAAACAAGGCAATGAGATGGATCCATTTGTTTAACTAGTCCATTTTATTCTGCAGACTTGCAATCCATTCCACTATAATTCTGCCACTGATCTACTTAATAATAGTAAGGAAAAATCCTTTTCGGTTTGCCATGGGGATGGCTCAGGCACTTCTGACGGCCCTCATGATTTCTTCCAGGTAAACAAAAGAAACATTTATTTTCTGTAATGTTTGTAATAGTAATTTTTTGTAATTGCTCTGATTTTATTGCTACTATGTTACATACCCTGATTTCACCTGGAGAATTCTAAATCCCCTGGAGGCTGAAATACTGCTTTCATCATTGTTTCTGTAGTACCCAAAGGGGCACTGTAGACTGCGCTGGCCTTACACCAAATGAGAGTCTGCCTCTCGCAGGAGGAGACAGTTCTCTGCCATTCAGTTCATTAGTCACAGACTTCCTACAGTTTAAGCTGTTGCACTGTTTCTGTGACTACATGCATTGTGATGATTTTACCATGTAATTTTAAGGATAACTGAGACTTTGTTATTTCTTTCCATAATTAGAAGAGATCACAAAAGTTACTTTGCTTTAAAAGCCAACTGTCGCTTTCATGGTGCAGCCTTCCTGCCTGCCTTAGGTCTCCATTTGAGTCTTAGAGCAGGTCATGCTCTGAGGAAAAGGAAAGATAAGGGAAACGGTATGCTCTTGCCTGCACTTACTTTGTGTGTTTATCCATGTGCCAGTTCGGCAACTTTGCCTGTCACCTTCCGCTGTGCGGAAGAAAAAAACTGCATCGACAAAAGAATTACCAGGTTCGTTCTTCCAGTTGGAGCTACCATCAACATGGACGGCACAGCTCTTTACGAAGCAGTAGCGGCTGTATTTATTGCACAACTCAATGACTTAGAACTGGATATTGGCCAGATAGTTACCATTAGGTAAGACTAAAGCCATCACACGCGTTTTGCCGGAGGTGGTTTTTTTTAATGAATGGTACATTAACTTTAGATATCCCATGGGAAATTTGAAACTGTCATTCACAGCACAGGAAATAACAGAAATATTCTCACTTCTTGGTCTGAGGCCTTGCCTGTGCAACCTGGTAGGGGTGTGGGATGGGCCAGAACATGTGTGGTATGTACATGGTATGTAGAACAACATGGTATACAGCATCGTTCTGGAAATTGCCGTTATTCTTCCTCTGCAAACATGTGCAAACCCAACCTCTACCTCTGCTCTGTCCAGTTTGCTTCTTAGTGATGCACTGCCTGTTATTCTGCAGTGTAACCATAGCGGTATCTATACACAACTTGTCCCATAAACTTGTTGCCAGACTTTGAGAAGATACTATTCAAGAGGAAGACTGGAACATAGAAAATAGTTTCCGTGAGCAACATGTATTCTGAATGCCTTTTCTGGGCTTTATTTGGGATTTAGTGTCACAGCTACAGCAGCCAGCATCGGTGCTGCAGGCGTCCCCCAAGCCGGACTTGTCACCATGGTGATTGTACTGAGTGCCGTCGGCCTGCCTGCCGAAGATGTTACTCTCATCATTGCAGTTGACTGGCTTCTGTAAGTTAAAGGCACTTGATATTTAATTCTTTTTCCTTTTTTTAATGCTTTCATAAGTTGTGCGGGAACATGTGGGTCTGAGTAAGAAAGCAACAAAATCATTTAGGACTGTTGCAGGAATTGGACAAATCTTCTTGTGGCCAGGCTTGTTCAATATAGAGTAGAATGTAGGGATGGCTTTAATTCTGAGACAAGTCCTACTGCATGGGATGGCAGTGAATAACCTCACATCAAGAGGTGCTATCAACCTTGAAATAGTGGCCACAGCATTAATAAATGATGAGCATAATACTGAGGAAAGCCCCAGCCGCTTGATCAACAAGCACACACATGCAAACTCAGAAAGCACTCCTTATGCCCGATCCCAATCCTCTCCCCTCAGAGCACACCAAAACCCGTCAGTCCCATTACGCGACTCTTTCTGGAGAGAAGCATTTTCACCAGAAATCTTTTGTGTTCAGCTTACACCAAGAAGTTTCTCTGCTGCTTTCACAAAAGCCCAAAGAATCACAGAGTGTATTCCGGAGCTCAGGAGGACATCAGTATTCAGTTTTGTCCCATGATTCACTGGGAAAGAGGATTCACAAATTAAGGATTATAACCATTTGTTAATTCATACATTAGTTTGTCATGCAGTTTTTTTACCTCCTAAACTGTGCGAGATTTAGTGCTCAGACCCAGGTCTTGTTCACCTGCAGTAACTCAGCATGGATGGTATTTCATTGGTATCAATGCAGAAATCTTAATCATTTTGTAGTCTCTGCATGTCTTCTTCTTAGACTTGCATTTACACTCAAGGTAAATGCATTCCTGTTCCACCTCCACCCTTTCCAATAATTTTCTTGTAGTATTTCTGGCAGCAGTCTATGTATTTCACAGATACATGTAATTTACTTGATTATATATCTCCACTTTGCAAGCAGTAGAGAGAAATGCCAGTCTCCAGAAAACCAGGGCTGTTGAATGTATCCAAGAATCAATTCGTTTTCTGTATAAGCAGAATTGCTCCAAACAAAACAGCTCCAGCCACGAGTACATGCTCCCCATCAACTTTCTGCCACAGGGCCTAATAGGTTTGTTTGTTTTGCTCGACAATCATACATTTTCTCCAGCTCTCTTCTTTTCCCAGTAGGCATTTAGTTTTGTTAAGTATGGTGAAGATCAGTACAAACCACTGGCTCAGAGCAGGTATCTAAAGAAGAGTGTAAGAGCAGAGCAAACATATATTGGTTCTTTTCCCAAAGTACTCTCCTAGGCTCCTGCAAATTGCAGCTCACAGAGTTCCTGAGGTAGAGGTGGTTTTTGTTTTAACAGTTCTCAATAGATTTCTTCATCTTCCATGAAAGCCTCATTGCTTTTGGGACCCATTTAAACTTTTAAAACTTCCCTGAGTCCTGTGGAGAGGAATTCCACAACCTAACAATGTGTTGTGCAGAGACATACTTAATTTTTTTTGTTTTAATCTATGTCCTAATCATTTTATTCAGTGCCCTCTAATTCTTTTGTGGGAGTGAGAGAAAGAGAACAGTAATTCCCTATTTCTCATAGTAATTATAATTTTATGGATCTGATCTTGTCTGCACTTTGAAAGTCCACAATTTATATGATTCTTAGGCACAGTATGAACACATGGAAGCTACCTGTTCCACCATGAAACAGACAAAGCATTCAAGCTTCTGGTTCTGAGATATTTTTCAGATCAAGGTGTCTTACTGTGTAAAGCAAATTAAAGATTAATTTCATGTACAGGGATCATTGCCAGTGTGCGTTTTGCACCTCACCAGCTGGAATGCACATCATGATGCCACGTAGATTATTAACACTTTCACCTTTTGTACTTATTGCCTAAAATGTATTATTTTGCAACCTGCTAGTAGTGGCTCATTAACAATTTCCTAGTTAATTCTGAACTTACCAAGGTTTTATTACATAGACTTGAGAAATACTTCCATGTTTTTAATGAAGAATAGAAAAATTTTGAGAATTGTGAAAGATGAGTTTCCAGTGCTGTTCATATCCTCAGTTGTCACACTGATCCTACCATAATTTTGCTTTACCCCTCTCTTGCTTTCTCTACCGTATATTTCCTTTCCACATGGAGAACACATGGGCACTTTTTAGCACTGGAGTTCAGCAGTTGTAGTAGAAGAATATGAGACACGCCAGTTTACTTCACTGTAGTTTTTGCAGTCCATCCTGTTTGTGAATATATCCACCTCAACACCTCTGCACAGACAGAGCAACTGGTTCTGCCACAAAGCACTTGCAGTGCTCTGTAGGTGAAAAGAAAAACAAGGAAGCATGACCTTCCACTGTCCCTACTTTACTTCCACACCAATTTTCAAACTTTGCTATATTGCGTGGTTTTGTTGCTCCTCTGCCAAGTAGTGGCAGATTTTTAAGGCCTGCAAGTCACATTTCTGTTGGGAGAAAAATCAGCAGTACAGAGGTGTCATAATCCTTTGAGTGACTTATTTAATACAACTTTGTACTTCAGCTCTTTAATGATGAGAAGCTAACAGAAGATAGCCTTTCCCATTTCCAGGGTTTTGGGCCGGAATATTGAAGGTACAAGGCTAGGCACACCTCTGGCTGAGGAAGTGACCGTTAGAAAGACAAAAGCCACAATGCAGACTCTTCTGCTGCACCCCACAATCTCTCCTCGCATCAAAAGTGGTCTCATCACAAAAAGAACCAGCTGTGTGGCATACTTCAGGGCCTGAGAATTGATCCCTATGACATTTTGTAAGGCTGTGCACAGCAGTGTGATTACTGCTCAACAGACTAGTGACATGACTTGCAGTTTTGCACACCCTGTACAAAGTAATTTGTCATGAAAGTAACTCCGGGTTTCTTCAAACACATATGGGGAAAATTCTGTTCTTGTCCTACAAGACTTTTTTCTTTTAATTGCAGAATATGCCAAATCTGCACTGGGAAAAAAGCAGCTCTGCATTTGCTAGAGTAGCTTACTTTTAGTAAAAGTATTTTCTAAGTAACATACAGAGTGGTTTGTCTGACAACATTTTTATTCCGTAGGGATCGATTCAGAACAATGGTGAATGTCTTGGGAGATGCCTTTGGTACAGGGATAGTGGAGAAGCTCTCTAAAAAGGAGCTGGAGCAGATGGATGTCACCTCTGAAGTCAACATAGTCAATCCTTTTGCCATGGAAACAACAGTACTTGATAATGATGAAACAGAGACCAAGAAATCGTACGTCAATGGAGGCTTTGCTGTAGATAAGTCTGACACCATATCCTTCACGCAGACATCCCAGTTCTAGAGACAGTAGCTTTCAGGTAAAACAGGAGCACTAAAGGACATGGCCATATGCAATATCTCAAAAAGCTTAAAGGATGATTGATAATGAATTAAAACTCACATGCATTACAGAGACTCTGATTCTCCTAACCACTTCTGCCCCCTTCTCATCACCTTCCCCAACAATGTGAACTCACCACTTTTAGTCCTTGCTGATAGGTTGAATATAAAAACAGTTGTAAAATACTTTTTTTTTTTTTTTTAAGAATATACTCTTATTACTGAGGCTATGAAATGCCTTTTTGGAATCAGCATGCTCATAAATGGGGATCTTAGCTGGAACAGCCAAACGTGTTTACTCAGGAGTAGCACAGCATTTCACATCTTACCCACCTTACAAAGCACCTGTATGAAATCCCTTTTAACATCTTTGCCTTCTAAACAGATTGCACTGTACTTAACACCTACTGTAACGTGATCATGTGCCAAAATACTTGTTTCTGCAGCTGAGAGGATACCAGCTGGATGATTCAGGAAGGAACAGAGCAGTAAGGCCTTGTAATAAGTATTTTACTGTAAACAGGGTTTCATTTTTCTTTAGTTGTGAAGTAATTGGGCAGGGAAGAATTTCCAGTCTTTATGTAGGTAGGTTTCCCCATGCCTTTCACGTGAAGGCTGCTGGGATTGGCCTTCGGATGTGAGATCAATTGCTGCGGATTTGCTCTTCTGGCATTTGAAGAGTTTTTGTAAAGTGACACTTCACCAACTTAGGTCCCCTTTGATGGCCTCCTAGTACATTTCCATCAGAAGCAGAAGTAAGTCTGTTTACTGTTGTTCACCTTTAACCAAATATTAATCAGCCCCAAAGTAGGCAAAGGTTATGAAGATGTAAAGACACTATACAGCAACGTGTAGTGCAAATTCTAAACCTTTCCTCCTTGGAAAGAAAACAAATATCATATCAAGAATATAGGAGGCATACCCTTTTCTAGAAAGAAGCCACCGTCACTAAGCTTTTTACACAGGCTGGTTGTTTTTTTGCTCCTTGGTTTAGTTTGCCAGTTGAACATGAAAGTTTGTAGCTGCAACACTACTACAGTGCCAACGTGTCAGCTAAACTGTATCTTAAGAAGCATTTCTGGACCTAGAAAATCATGTGTTCAGGTGGCTTGCTATGGGATAAGAAGCACCAAGAGCTTCCTCATTAAAATATCTGCATTTTCTAAAACATTTTCTAAAAGATATCCATGGTGCAAAAATCACTTCCTCAAGGGTGGAGTTGCTGTAACAAATTTTTTTGCCTTGCACATTAAAGTAGTTAGCCATTTTATATGTAAAGAAAACTGAAAATCATATACAGTTCTTTGTATGTAAATAAGCTTGTGGTAAACCTAAAATTGCACTCACATGCTAACAAAACCCCCTTGAAGTTACTGCAGTGTTCTATACTCAATTCAGTCCTACACTTTTGTATTTAAATAAACAAGAAGCGTGCCAAAGAGAACTGCTTAAGAAAAGAAGAAAATATTTCCTGGAGATTTTGATAAATTGCACCTTAAATCAATAAGTCAATGAGACATAATACTGTATTTAAATTAAACGTAAACTATATGGAAGTGTTAATCTTAAGTATTGGTATGTTTATAGAAACTAAAAAAAATGTACAGATTGAGTAAATCGGTCTTTTACCTGTGCAGAATTAGTATGAGAAAGTCTTTGTTCAGCTTTGCTTATGGGAGGAAAAAACCCACCACTTTCCACAACTAACCTATAATGTATGCTTTGTCTGTTCTTTGCTTTTTTAAGTCACCCTTTAATGAACACCCCATTATGTAGTCACCCTGTTATGAGGTACTGTGAACAGTGTTCCTAACGTGTTCTAAATAAATAATTTCTCTCTTTAACTCTTGTTTTAGCCTACCATCCTCTCCTCACTGTAGATACTGAGTTACTTGTCGAGGATGTACAATATACTGTGTACGGCCATTAAGTAGGATGGTTGCATGCCATCAGTCAAGTTTTCACTTGTGCAACAGATTGTGTTTATAATGTAACACCATTTCTGAAAAGACATTACAGTGACCAAAGCAATTTCACAGGTGTCAGCAGGCCTGGTGAATTGTAGTAAGAAATGAGTTAAAGAACAATTTCTTTCTTTGTCTTTGTAGATTAGGCATCCTGCACTACAGCTATAGCCAGATACCGCTATCAGCTGAATTCCCTGCTAAAGTCAATAAACCAGCATTAGACACTGAAGGAAGAGGTTCAAAGAGAAGATCTCATCCATCAGGCTGCTTGGTCTCTGTCAGGGTTTGTGTGTGTCCATGCATATGCAAGCAGTAGCGTGAAGGAAGAAAAGAGGCAAGCCAGTTGCCAGTAAGTCACTTTCTCTTGTCATAGCAAAGAGATTGGCTGCCAGGGGAATTAACTTAGATATTGACTCCTATGGGGACTTGTTAGTTTATATAGCAGACATCCTGCAAAAACCTTGAATAACAAACAAGCCTGGCAGGCAGAAATCATTATGAAGACTGTGGCTGCTCTAACTAGTCTCTTCTAGCAGGGTCACTTGATGGGATGCTATAAAGAGCATGAAAAGGATTTAGGAGAGCTACGTTGCCTAGAAACTGACTGAGCCTTTTCACTGGGGAAAAATTTCTACACTCAGAACTCTTCAAAGCCATTTCTGTTTTTAGGGTGTTGTATTTTGGATTCTGATTCCAAACAGTTTTGTGGATGCTTCAGGAGATCAGTTGTTTGCAAAACTTGCTTGATACAAATTTCATTAATGTAAAATCCATTGATTCCAGAAAGCCTTACATGAAAGGCTTGAAAGAGAAACATTTCTACAGGTGCTTTATGCTTGTTCTAAATTTGATTTACACTTTCTGCCTCGTTTCTGTCGTTTGTCAGTTTTAAGGCCTGCATCAATGATTCAGCTATTTGCAAGGTGACAGAAGTGACATGCAAACACACAAATAAATTAAAGTTTCTGCAGCTATATAGATCTAATGACTGCTGTGTTTCTTTTAAATGTGCTCTTGACAAGATTCTCAGACAACAGCGAATATAAAATATCCTGTCTTTAAAAAACATAGAAACACAAAGAAGAACACGATGAAAGGACTTCTTGTATATGTTTTTATGCTTTTCTTTAAACTATATCCATAGGGACTGCAGAGGATGGGGACACAAAAATAGCAAGGGTGAACTACCTTCTCCTGGCTTAGCTTCCATTGTTGTTGAGGCAGTTCCTGAAATATTCTCAGGCAAAGTTCCCCTATAATTTAACATTGGTTTACCTGACTAAGGGCTGAGCAGGGGCTGAGAGCCTTCTGTTCCAGTGAACTGAAGTGAGAAGCAAGACCACTCAGAAGTGATGAACTCTTTCTAAATGTGAATTATGTAAGCAGATGTTACAAAAAGGAAATTAAGCCAATCCCAGTGAACAAGAAATGCTTTCTCTAGTATCCTCTGAAATCATGCGGTTTAACATATGCATTCTATGTTGAATAAAGAGAAATTTTCATATGGCAGGTGGGATGTTCTCAGACATCTTACCCAAAACATATAAATTTCATATACAGTGAAGTTCTTTCTGATTCCCTTCCAAGGAAAAGAATTTGAAAGGTCTGATAAGACATTTAGACTATAAAGGTGAGTTACACAGAGGATGGCAATACTTGCGTATTGCAATAAGAATATATAGATAAAATAATATCTGCCAAGATATATTGTTAAAGAACAGCATTTCATAAAATCCACCTGCTTATATAGAGCATTGTGGTACTGCCAGGTTCAAAATCCTCTGGATTCATTAAGGGTGAGAAGAACTTGAAGTAGGCCTTCAAAGAATCACAGAACTGAGGTGGATTGAGAACTGGCTGAATGGCAGAACTCAGAGGGTTGTCATCAGCGGCGCTGAGTCTAGTTGGAGGCCGGTAACTAGTGGTGTCCCTCAGGGGTCAGTACTCGTCCCAGTCTTGTTCAACTTCTTCATCAATGACCTGGATGAAGAGTTAGAATGTACCCTCAGCAAGTTTGCTGATGACACCAAACTGGGAGGAGTGGTGGGTACACCGGAAGGCTGTGCTGCCATTCAGTGTGACCTGGACAGGCTGGAAAGTTGGGCACAGAGGAACCTGATGAAGTTCAAAAAGGGCAAGTGAAGGGTCCTGCACCTGGGGA